CCTCTAAGGGTAGTGGGAATAATGATAAACATGTGGATGGCCCTGTCATTGGGCCACGAGGTATCTACCAGGGCCATGAGGATACTGTTGAAGATGTACAATTCTGCCCGTCGAGGTAATTGGCTTGATCACTGTCATGGTTTGAATTATTGTTACTTCATGATTTATGTGACACAGTTGTTGATGCTAGATGTGTCATCTTTTTAAAAAAATTATTACCTAAAGTTTATTTGATGTCATCTATAGATCTTTCCTGCATCCTTTTAACTATACAAAATATTTACGAGGAGTCCTTTCTCTGATTTACTTGTGTTTAGTGCTCAGGAATTCTGCAGTGTAGGTGACGATTCTTGTCTTATATTATGGGATGCAAGAGCTGGTGTCACTCCAGCTGTCAAGGTTTGAATTCTTCTTTGTATACATCACATCAGCGATCTGCCTTTGATGAGAAAACTTTTAGTGGATATTAGCAGTGGTGGATCCAGGATTTTGTATGAGGGGTGGCTAAAGAGCAATCAAGGTCATGGATCGGGTCAATAACTCGAATTAATCATTTTTGAAAAAAATTAAATTATAGCATAAAATTTCATTAACGATTTAAATATAAGTTTTAAACCTTAAGAAAAAAAAAGAAGTAAAATAGAAAAAAAAAACTAAATCCATGTCAATGGTGTTGGTAATCTTGTTCTCAAATAATTCTAGAAAAAAAAGAAAAAAAAAGAGGGAAAACAAGCTTTGCACCCAAGATAAAAAAGAAAAGGAAAAAAGAAAAAAAGGATAAAAAAGAATTCTAAAATTTAGGCTTAGAGGGGATTGAACCTAAGTCCTTTAAAATTTGGCAAAAAGACTTACCGCTATTCCAAACCAATATATTTTATAAGTTTAGGGTGTGGCAAAGCTATACATTTGCTATTTTATTAGCATAAAAACAAAAATAAAAAATAAAAAACTGAGGGGCGGCCGCCGCCGCCGCCTCCACCACCAATCTGCCTCCGCCACTGGATATTAGTGACCCATGATGTGTTATAGCCTTGATAGATGTCATTCTTCATCATGCTTAAATGTTCAGTGGCTATATCTTAAAACCCTTCCCATCTTGATTACTGGACAAAAAGCCCCTTCAAGTGGTGAGGACTACTGCTTTACCAAATATGTCAGTAACACTGAAGGGAATAGTTTTATGGTCCTAATGAAGGCTGCCACCAAGGGCTTGCTAGGCATTGCCTGTGGTAAAGGGGTACATTTAGCATTTTTTTAAATTTTAAAGCAGTGCAGTATAGGGGAAAGGAAAATGCATGTTGTACATGGTTTGATGCACAAATATCTACGTCTTAAAATCATTATTTATGTTCTCTTCAAATATCCTCTTTATCGCATTGCCTTTTTGTTTGCTGCATTGTGCACTGCTCCTGCATTCTTCTCAAAGTCTCAATACTTCTTTGACAATTCAAAATTTCCTCATAGATGGTTGTAGTTTTTTCTATCTTATAAATTGTTTCTTTGTTTCTTTGGGGGTATGAGCAGGTTGAGAAAGCTCATAATGCTGATCTTCATTGTGTTGATTGGAATCCTCATGATGTAAATCTCATTTTGACAGGGTATATATTTCTGTTAGACATTACACTTGTATTCTCTATTAGGTCGCAATGTGTGATGTTCTGGTCAACTTTTACATTTTACATCCCGTATCTTTATGAACCACTATACATATAATTGGTTTTTAATTTAGTCTGCATTGATTAGGTCTGCTGATAATACTGTTCACATGTTTGACCGTCGAAACCTCACTTCGGGTGGAATTGGATCACCTGTTCATAAATTTGAGGGTCACAGTGCTGCTGTTCTTTGTGTACAGGTGCCAAGGAAACTTTCTAGCATACTTGCATAGCTCCAAATCTCCAATGTTCTTTGTTATGTGTTACTAAAAGGGAATGCTTTTAGATGTTCATGTTATGACAAAAATATTCTTGTCTTTGCAGTGGTCCCCAGACACGTCATCAGTCTTTGGAAGTTCTGCTGAGGATGGGATATTAAACATCTGGGATCATGAGAAGGTGTGAAGTTAAACACTTCTGCAAGACAACTGTGCTCTCCCTCTCTTTCTCTCATTTTATAGAAAATAGGACAGATTAGAGCTAAGAAACTGAAGAATCAAGAAATCTAGTTGGAAATCTTTTGATATATATATTTCTGCTACTGCTTGTATGACAAAGTTGTTTTTCAGATTGGGAAAAAGCAAGATGCTGCTGGATCCAGGGCAGCAAATGCTCCTCCTGGCTTATTCTTTCAGCATGCTGGGCATAGGTATAGAGCTCTATATTCTTTCCTAAGTTAAGAATCACTCTCTGGAAATACTGATATTTTTAATGTATCTATGTTTGAGATATGCCATAGGGGACATCTGTATGCCACATACAAATATTTTTAGCGGATGACCTGTTGATCATATTCTAGTGTTTCAACGCCTTTTCGTATTTCTTGTTGCATTTAACAAAATAGGTTAGATTTTTGAGTATGATAAAAAAGAACGGGAATTATGCCTTTGTATGATCCCCTCCCCCCCATCATGTGCAATTTTAAATTTTAGGTGGTATATTGGAATCGTCAGTCGTAATTTCCTCTGGTTCATTAGGTGATAGTAAACTTGCATAGTGTTTGAACAGTGAACTCTGCTGTCAACATAATCTTTTAAATTGAAACATTTCAACATTGGGTGATTAAGTTGTATATATGTGTTCAGAGACAAGGTTGTTGACTTTCACTGGAATACATCTGATCCATGGACAATTGTCAGTGTGTCGGATGATTGTGAAAGCACTAATGGTGGTGGTACTCTACAGGTAATTAAACTTGTTTCCATTTAATATTTACAAATGGATTTTGGCTATTACATTATAGCGGCTTTAGGTGGGTCCTCAGTCTTTTATTACTTGTTTCTTTGTGTTCTGTTTTGCTACTGACAGATTAAGATATACCAACATGGGAAAATTATTAAAACTGGAGCTCAGCAGCTTAATTTACAGTTAAGATTTAGTATTTAGTATCTCAACACCTCCTTTGTCCCAACACCGTGTACAATATGCTGCATCATATGGAACAGGTTGGTGCAATGGCACTACTTTGTCCATATAGTACATGCCACTTTTTGGAGATATAGTAGAAAGGTACAAATTAAATGGAGTGCTGGTAACAGATAGATTTATATTGTTTTATATAACCATTTTAGAGATCTGATGCTTCCCTCCTAAAGAAGAGAAAAAATTTGGGTGCTTAATTATACAAACTTGACTGAACCAAGTGATGTTTTGGTGCAGATATGGCGGATGATTGATTTGATTTATCGTCCTGCAGAGGAGGTCCTAGCTGAGCTGGACAAGTTTAAATCTCACATCCTGGCATGTGACAAAAATTAGTAAAGCTTGATGTTCTTTAGTCCTAAGTTTCTGAAACTAGATCTGTTGTTTGAGAACCATGCTTTCTTGTGTAGGGAAAACAAATTTGAGGTACGAATGGTAATGGATAATACATGGTTGGTTGGTAGGCCCTCTTAAACCTTGCTTGTCACCTACTTCTCTTCGTTTTTTAATGTTAATGATTGCTCTAATGGCACGTGTTAAGATCTGTCTATGATCAACACCATAGTCAATTTACAAGTTTGAGAATAGTATACTATGAATTTTAACTAGTGCTGATAGCAAGGATTTTAGTAGTAGAGATTGATGGGTGTAAATTTAAGGCGGCAATTTTACTAGGGGGAATTGTTGGAACTTGAAAGCGGTGATGGCCCACGGCTTGCTGGGCTTACACTGCCGAAAAACGTAATGCGAGGATATATGTGGGTCACTGTTAGCTTCAATTCCTGTTCTGGAATGGGTACTTCATTATTGCTGGGTTTTGAAGGGAATTGAAGTGCTCCTAACTTTGGAAATATAAAACGCCTCTGATCATTTTTCTTTTATCGATTGTTTACTCGTCAATTCTAATATTTTAGGAGAGCAGTATGTCATGAATTAGGAAACCATTTCTCCAGCGACTTAAAGGGTCAGGCCATGAACATAGATGTCAATGATTAGGATATTTAATATTTTTTAGTTACTTTTAGATAGGATATTTGAGTTTTTTAAATATTTGATTAAATTTTAAAATTGTTATTCGAATTTGTATTGGAATATTTTAGTTATTATCTATTAAACATAAAATTAATTTTTATATATTTTAATGAAAAATTAATTAATTAATTAAAATTAGTTTTTAAAAAATAAATTAAAGAATTTTGGTAAATATTATATTACTTATAAAAAATTTATAAATAAAAACTAACATATATAAAGCTAAAATTTAATATTATAAATTATTATTTATAATTAGATTTGGATGGTGAATATTCTAACTTCACTATTCAAATTTTACTTGAATTAATAATAATTTTATTATTTAAATTTGATTATAAGATATTTTAATTTTATTTAATCTAATCAAGTAATAATAATAATAATAATAATAATAATATTATTATTATTATTATTATTATTATTATTATTATTACAAAGTACATATTACTATTCTCATGAAAGTAAATTCACGGGCTATTAAAAGAATTTCAATAATAAATTTCTTAAAAATTATAACAAAGGACTTGAGTTAAAAGACAAGTATCATTGTCTTGCCAATAAAACACGGCAAAATCATTGCATACTTAGCTTCATAATATTGTTAAAAAATGAAGAATAATCAATGTTAAAAGAATTCATTTCCTTACACGATCATAGCGTACTATAATCTAGACCAAATTACTTTGACTGAGGAAAAAAAAAAAAAGCAACAATGAGGGCAAAAGGAGAAGAAATTGGTAATTATCAATTTTTCTAATTAAAAACGGAAAGCCTGTCCCTTTTTTTTTGTTTGGAGAACTTAAAAATAAATAAATACAATGTGACGTACGCAAAACCCAAAATAAGATAAAGAGAAAAATAAGAAAACGAAAAAAAAAAATAATTGGCAGAAGCTCTGTGTGGTTTAGTAGAGTACTCCGCTTGCTTCCCGGACCATTTTCCAAAGGCTTATATTATCCATCCCAACTCTTTCAACTCTTCTCTCTCTGTCCCTCTCTTTCTTTTTCCCAATCTCTCTAGAAGCAGTGACCATAACAATCGAAGAAGAAAGAAGAGGAGAAAATGGGAACGAAGAGGAAAACTCTCTTCTTCGCTTTTCTGCTGCTGCTGCTATCCACTGCTCACTCCTTCTACCTCCCTGGTGTTGCCCCGCGCGATTTCCAAATGGTACCCTCTTTCTCTCTCTCTCTCTCTCTCTGGGTTTATCTTTGCTCGTCTTATCTTTAATGTTTTTTGTTGATTTCTGGGTGAGTTTTGTTTTTGTTGATGGGAATAGGGTTGGATCTAGGGTTTTAATGGTTTGATCTGATGTGTTACTGCTTCTTTTCTTTTAGATCTGTAGTTCTGTTCTGTCTCCTTTTGGGTTTTGATTTTTTTATGTAGATTTGATTTTTGTTTTAGTGGTAATTGCCTTGCTTGTTCTGGATTTTCATTCTAAAATGGTGGACTAGTAATATTGTAAGCTGACAAAAGATTATTCAGTTGAGTATGCCTGAGTTTTTTTTTTTTAAGATTAAAGTGAAATTACAGAGAAAATCAATATTTGCTAACCCCATTTGTTATTATTGAATCTTAATGCTGAGAGAATCATATAGTGTTTAACAAATGATGGAATATTATAAATGGAAGGCAGATTGCCCCCTTGTAATGTTTTTTGGCAAGAGATTTTGCTACTGTATCAGTTTTCTTTTTTAAATTAACAATGCAAGTAAGAAGAGGAAAGTCTAAGCATGAATGAGAGATCTATTGTCTTTTGCAACTATGAATCTGAATCAACTTATTTTGGCTGAGAACCACACTTTCTTGCAAGAACTTTATGTTTAAATCAATAATTATTATGCTAGCTCAATCTTCATATTTGGCTTGCACAAATGTATGATGCCCAAATAAGCACCATGTCTCCTGATTGTGTAACGTGAATAGCAACTCCTAAAGGGATTTAGTTTTAGATTCATAATACTAGTTTACTCTGATGCATGATTATTCTTGATTGCTTATAGCTTAGCATTTTAATCTTAGGGGGCCATTTGGTGTGGGGTCATGAGAGGGGGTGATAGAGCTCTCAGTTGCAATGGTGATGATCACCGATATGAAGAAATAAAAGCTACTTCATTCTTTGTCTAGATCTTGCTTTTTGTGTTTCATAATGTCTTTTAAAATTAAGGATGTGATCTCTTACACCTTATTTCCCTTTATCCAAAACTATAAAGAGATTACAATAGTTCTTTAAGTTCCAAGGGATCACTGACTATAGGCTTGAAAACATAAGAGCCTATGCATGGAATGGAAAAGTCACATGGTGCTTGGGATATCTGTTTGTACAATTTAAATTTGGTAAATATGTCAATGCTGATTTGCATTGCACTAATAGACTTGCATTCTCCTCAAGCTTACGTATTACTTTGCTTGAAACATTTTTCCCCTTTTCTGATTTTGGGGGCAGGGGGCATGTGGAGGGTATATTCAGATTATTTTAGTCCAATTCTGAATTACGGTAAAGATATTTTTTGTGATGATTTCATGTACTTTATTGTTTTTCAATATTATGTCTCAAACTGTCCTTTTTTCTGATTCTGAACAGGGCGATCCCCTTTCTGTAAAAGTGAACAAATTGTCATCTACAAAGACACAACTTCCATATGACTATTACTACTTAAACTACTGTAAGCCATCCAAGATTGTTAACAGTGCTGAAAATTTGGGGGAGGTGCTACGTGGTGACCGCATAGAGAATTCCATCTTCACCGTGAGCATCTGTTACCTTTATTAGTGTGATTTACTTGCTGTTGGCAACAAGTAAAATTTTATGAAAGGTTTATAGATAGTTTCTGCAATTCTTACTCAGTTGTTTGTCATGTGTTTTGCCCCAGTTTGAAATGAGGGAGGATCAGCCTTGTAAAGTAGTCTGTCGAAAAAAACTTGATGCTGAATCTGCGAAGAATTTCAAGGAAAAAATTGATGATGAATATCGAGTTAATATGTACGTAACAAATATAATGCCAAAGATTCATGTTTCCTTGCTCCTTTTTCTTTATAGAGATGTTTTATGTGATTTTTACCTCTATTGCTTTTAAATGTTGTTTCCTGTGACTCTCCTCTTTCTCATTTTGCTGCTCATAAACTGGTGGTGCATGTTTGTACTGAATTATATGAAGTTGATGCACAGGATTCTTGACAATCTTCCAGTCGCTGTTCTTAGACAAAGGAGAGATGGAAGTCAGTCAACAACATATGAACGTGGTTTCCGTGTTGGGTTCAAGGGGAATTATGCTGGGGTAAGCTTTAGGAAGCTAGTATTGTGTTGGAAGGTTTAGGTGTTTCTTATTTATCTTAATAATTTATATGCCTTGCAGAGCAAGGAGGAGAAGTATTTTATCAACAACCACTTGAGCTTCAGGGTCATGTTTCACAGGGACACTGAAACTGATGCTGCTCGAATTGTTGGATTTGAGGTTACTCCAAACAGGTTTTCTTCTAATTTCATGACTTTCTTTTTGTCTTTTTGCATTTGTTTTGACACTTGATTAAACTCTGTTTACTAGTAGCTTTTGTGGATTTGGATTATGAAGCATTGTTGCAACTTAATCCTCTTCAATTTCCTTATCTGGTCCGATGGGGGGAGTAGGGGTAAACTCATCATAATGGTATTCTAAGTAAATATAATTACTGAAAGTTATCTACTACTACAGATTTTTTTAATGTGCTTAAAGATTTATTATTCTTCAATTTATTCAAAATATGGTTAAAGTAGCAATTTGTGTTGTCCTTTTTGAAAGATGCTGAAAGAGTTACTGAAACTGCATTGAAATTTTTGTACATTATGCAACATAAGAAACTAGGATTTTACGAACAAGGTAATTTTCTGTTGGTTATCAAGTGAGTGGCTTACTTATGTCATTATTGTTTATATGTGTGGCTTTTATAAACAGCATTAATCATGAATACAAGGAATGGGATGAGAAGAATCCCCAGATAACAACATGCAATAAGGACACGAAAAATCTAATTCAAGGTAGCACTGTTCCACAAGAAGTTGATGTAGGCAAGGAGGTTGTGTTCACATATGATGTAACTTTCAAGGTGCAGTGCCTGCTCTTTCTCTTTCTTGTCATTGTTTTTCTATTGTATACCCTAATGCACAGGTTAATTTGTGGTCTCTTCAGGAGAGTGATATCAAATGGGCTTCTCGTTGGGACACATACCTTCTGATGAACGATGATCAGATCCACTGGTTCTCCATTATAAACTCACTGATGATTGTTCTCTTCCTATCCGGCATGGTGGCCATGATCATGATGAGAACATTATACAAAGATATTGCAAACTATAATCAGTTGGAAACCCAAGACGAGGCTCAGGAAGAAACAGGATGGAAACTTGTACATGGAGATGCCTTTAGGGCTCCTATCAATTATGGTTTACTCTGTGTTTATGTTGGTACAGGTGTCCAGATCTTTGCAATGACACTTGTGACAATGATATTTGCATTGCTGGGCTTTTTATCTCCTTCCAATCGTGGAGGGCTAATGACTGCTATGGTTCTCTTGTGGGTTTTCATGGGAATATTTGCTGGTTACTCCTCAGCACGTCTATACAAAATGTTCAAGGGCACAGAGTGGAAGAGAAATACTTTAAAAACTGCATTTATGTTTCCGGGTATCCTTTTCGCTGTCTTCTTTGTGCTGAATGCATTAATTTGGGGAGAGCAATCTTCTGGTGCAGTCCCGTTTGGAACAATGTTTGCTCTTGTTTGCTTGTGGTTTGGTATATCCGTTCCATTAGTCTTTGTTGGGAGTTACTTGGGTTTCAAAAAGCCAGCCATTGAAGACCCCGTGAAGACCAACAAAATTCCCAGGCAGATACCAGAGCAGGCATGGTATATGAAGCCAGTCTTCTCTATACTCATTGGAGGCATTCTTCCATTTGGAGCTGTTTTTATTGAGCTGTTCTTCATCTTGACGTCAATATGGCTGAACCAGTTCTATTACATCTTTGGCTTCCTTTTCATAGTGTTCATCATTTTAATAATCACTTGCGCCGAGATAACAATTGTGCTATGCTACTTCCAGTTGTGCAGTGAAGACTACCACTGGTGGTGGAGATCTTACTTGACTGCTGGCTCCTCTGCTCTCTACCTTTTCCTGTACTCAGTTTTCTACTTCTTTACCAAGTTGGAGATCACAAAGCTGGTTTCAGGCATCCTCTACTTTGGGTACATGGTAATTGTTTCATATGCCTTCTTTGTCCTGACAGGGACAATTGGCTTCTATGCTTGCTTCTGGTTTGTTAGGAAGATCTACTCCTCTGTGAAAATTGACTGAGATGAGAATGTAGAAAGAGGGTCAGACCTATGCAAATTACGGGGTGGAAGAGAGGAAAGCATGATATGGACTTTTTCAGCTGTCGACTTTTTCGGGATAAAGATATGCAATGGAAATTTTTATTTCCTACTGTCTCTACAGTCTCTTTTCATTAGGTAGGGTTGGCCTGTTATTTTGTCTACACTGTTAAAAGTTATGTACTGTACTCTTTTATCTAGTTTCTGCAAGGAGTAACATTTGTGATCTAGTCGTTAGATATTTTGATACTTAGATATCCACTGTCAACAAAACAATCAGGAATTTGTGAATTCTTTAATGCTTCTTAATTGGCTTGAGTATACTCCAAATTGTTTCTCCTTGGTTGAGTCTGGCATTGCATCCCATTGTAGTGGTAGTATGCAGTTTAAATTGTTAGGCCCTGCAAATCATTACATACTAGTGTTTGCTTTAACACAGTGAATAAGGGGACTGCCTCAGTTTTCATTCTCCATTTCAACTTTTTTATTTCCACTTTAACATTAGATGATTATCTCTCATTGTGCATTATTATCTTAGTTAATGCTCTATGCTGATAGGCTTTGTTTCGTCCGATTTAGTAATTCAAGCTGATCTTTATTCCATTTCTTCTCCTGTCATGTTGAAGAGAACTTATGCTATTTTTGTCTAATTGATAATTCTGTACAAAATTTATCAACCTATTTGATAATGCAAAATTTTGGCCTAATGCTTGTCTCATTTCGTGGTGGTTGGCACTTATTGAGGTGAAGTTGGTTTTTGTCTTCACAACTCTCCATTCCTGGTTTAATTTTTTTGATCTCAGTACAATTACACCGATTTTTAAAGCAGGAAGAGGCCATTCCCATTTGCCAGCGTGGTAGTGGGATATCCCAAACCTAGGACTAGTAGTACCGGAGCTCTGCACATTCTTGTTCTTTCTTCTTCTTTATCGATAGCTTTGAAGATGGGCTTTGCGGCTAAGAGACGAGGCAGGGGCTGCTTTTGCTGCATCAGAAACATTGGTATTTTGATTTGCTTTGGAATACTATCGATACTAGAGGCCAATCTGATAAGGTCTGGCTAAATGTTGTGTTTGCCATGACGTAGTGTAAAGAAATAGGTTGGGTACGGATCCTCATATTTTGGATCGTTGAGATTCACCTAGTGTAAAATTTTAGTTATTTTAAAACTACTTATACAGGATAAGAATCTTAACCTAAATATCACTTATCAAAAGCATGTTTAAATCACCAATAGGAAGGTGCAGTTTACATCAGCTCTGGATCCCATGAACGAAAATAACATATACATATATTTATATGTATATATGTGTATATATATATATATATAGAGTCACGCCGAGTCGTGAGATTTAGCCTTCAATGCTTCAATTACTGCTGAAAAATCCTCATCACTGAGGCCATATGACTTTGCAACCTTATACAGTTCGTTTGCAGCGGCTGCAATTGGAGTGGATTGGGAAACAGATTCTGCTAATCCCAAAGCAAGTCTGAGGTCCTGTTGCCATTAGCTTCTGTTATGATATGAATACATGATAGCATATGTCTTGCAATGTTGATTATCTCTGTAAATTACAAACCTTCTGTTGATGCTTTAAGGGAAAGGCTGTGGGATACTGGGATTTAACCATCGATGGCCCTTTAACAGAGTACATTGGTGCACTAATAGCACCCTGTGCGACCACCTGCAATACCACAAAATAATGCGAACCAAGGGAAGAAAACAAAGACAACATTCAATCATCCAAATCCAATCAACTCATGCATGTGGAGTTTAGTGAATACCTCAACCAGAACATTCGGATCAAGTCCCACTTTCTTGCTAAGAAGTAATCCTTCAGAAAATGATGCCATCATACTACAAGTTGCCAAAGCAAAGCATTGTCATCATGTAGTTATCACATACACCAGAAGCACAAACTTAAAAGGCAGAACAACTAACCTTCCCATGATCATGTTAACAACTAGTTTCATAGCAGCTCCATTTCCAACCTCCCCAAGGTAAAATCTTGACTGGGGAAGGAACACAAATATTAGAATTTACTTGTAATGGTTAATCGGATTAACAGGGGTTAAGAGATATCGTTTGAATGAATGTGTGAGTCTTTGTGTGTGTGTGTGTGTGAGAAGACGTAGTACCTTCCCCAAGATGTCCAAGAGTGGAGCAACTGAATCATATAGAGATCTGTCACCTGAAAGATTTCAATGGTTTAAAAAGCTTATATTCTAAACTATGGATTAACCAGTAAAGAGGAAAAGATCTGAAGATAACTGAGGATATAAGACTTGAACATCAAATTTTGCAAATATTTTAGCATTTTTAGCTACATTGTTGGAATTTGGTTCACATTAGATTAGACAACATATTTAGCATACTAAACGATGATGCAAAAATTTTCTTACCTGCAGTAAGAAATATCAGCTGTCCATCTTCTGCTGGCTTTTTGGAGCCTGAAACTGGAGCCTGCAAAAGAAGCAATGGAGTTTGATTAGCAGAAATTCCAAGATTATCACATTGCTGAAGCACACTCAAAAGAAAAATCTATTTGTACTTCGCATGAGTGGCAAGGGTTTTAGAAAATGAAGCCTGATTGTAACTTTACCTCTAGAAATAATGCCCCAGTTGCTTTGATATGTCCATTGATCATTTTAGAAGTGGCACCATCAACAGTTGAAATGTCTACATAGCTGTCAATGCCAATGCAATATCATCAATTCAAGGATGCCATGTGGGACCCTATCAACTAATTCAAGAAAGAAGACAGAGACACTATATTTAGTTATTTACTTAATCACCAATTAACAACTAATACTTGGATGAATTTGTTGTACCGATTGAAACTTAATGTTGTTACACTAAACTCTTCTAGTCTGGTGCTCACTGCCATAAGAAGGTATATATTTCTTAATGGAAAAAACTTTTAAATGAGAGCAATGGAACAATGTTACCCTTTTCCAGGACCCATGCCACTCAGAGCTCCATTCTTTCCACAGGCAACATCAATCTGGTATAAAGCAACAATGAGTTTCCAGATCTTAATAATGGTCCAAGCAAAACAAAATAACAATAAAAATTATAACAGAAACATACGCACTGCACTTTCAGGGTCAGCAAGCATCGCAAACGTGACATCACAGTTGGCAGCTACTTCCTCAGGAGAGGATCTATACCTGCACAAATAAAATAACAACAAATACCATTTTAGTGATAATTTTACCTTAAAATCTGGTTATCTTGAAGAGCTCTGGACAAAAACACCAAAAACAAAAGAAAGCTAGCTTTGCAGATGAAGAACAAAGGCTGCAAGATTCAAACAAGAATTATAGAATTCATACCAAATTCCCCTAGATTAAGTTTACAATTTGTTTCTTTTGTAGAATTAAATAAAGTTAGGTGTCCTCTTTACTCTCTTTTTGTTGAGCAAGTATTTGCATTAACAAAGAGACCGAAAGGCACCAGTTCAGGAATAGAAAAATATGAAACATAGACTGTGACTTTATCCACTAAAGAATATGTGGCAATTGTCGACTAAGTGAAGCAAATTTACCCCGTAAGCACATCTATCACGGTCAATAATATAACCAGTCTGCCTAACCTAGTATTAACTCAGACTATGTATAAATGAATGCTAATATGTAAGGATCCAAAATTTAAGGAGTTCATAACAACGTTGTAGTGCTAAGAAAACTAGTTTCACAGAAGGGATATTGAAATCTCACTTTGCACCAAGGCTGATGAGAGGATCACATTTGTTCTTTGTCCTGTTCCATACTGTTACATCGCATCTGCAACGTACATGTTAGAGGATTAAACTCTAAATATCCAAGAGTTAAATCTTTTTTTATTGGAAGAGTTGAATCATCTTTGATGCTTAAGATATTGAAATTACAAAGGAAATTTTTTTTACTCAAACTGATGTTGGAGGATATGTGTCAAAGAAAGAGAGAGAATCAGATCAAAAGGAAATCAAACAGAGGATCTTGCAGTTCCATAGTCAGCTGTTGCGAATGAAGAACATCTTCTATGAGACAATTTTATTTCAGTTTGATTGTTCTTTCTGTACTAATTAGGTAGAGAAACCACGTCAATACCCAGCTTTTATGAGATTCTGTGCCATTGGTGAACCCATAATTCCAAGACCCAGAAAACCGACTTGGCCTGAAAATTTATCTGTTGCATGAAGCATAATCCTTGCATGAGTTAGATAGCCGTTTGTGGCAATTGTACAACATATCTTATACAGAGTAAAAAATGGTTTACAAGTTAACCATAATTATTCCTCTGACGTTTGAATCAATATCAAATGTAAGGACCTGTCATGACAATACTCAAGAAATCATACAGCACACAGTCAGTGGGAATCCTGGCGCAACAATCAAACACAAACCTTTGCAAGTGACATCTCCAGAGGCCCCAGCAATACAGCCTAACAACAGCCTAATCTCTTAAGGTGTAAGCCCTGATTGTGCTAAAAATATCTGCATTTCTATCTTTTGGTACTCCTATCAATTAAGTGCTCAATATATCTCTACCTCCCCAATTCCCTGGTGGTCCCCATTAAGTTGATAACATAGCTGAACAATACAAGCATACAGCCTGAACATCCATAACATTGTGACCAACATAAAGTACGTAGTGAAAGTTACCATCTAAGAAATGTGCTGACAAAAGGAAGCACCATATTCCTCACTTAATCCATGAACTTCCATTACCAAATCCACGAATTCCAATTTCCAAATAATTTCTCACGTTTTTTTCTGGTTGCGAAGACACCCAACAAATTTTTAATGCATTTTATATGATCTATCTGTAACTTTTTGAACCAATGGAGAAACCCAATGCAACTGGCTCTTAAAGAATGGAAACACTTTCAGGATGAAGCCTTTTTCAATTTTTTTTTTTTCCTTTTGTTGTAGAAAAAGAAGCAGTCATCGAAGAAGAATCGAAAAAAAATTACAGATAACAGAAGAAAACGTGACAAAAAGGATACCCATAGAAGAAATACCTTGGGATGAAGCATCAGAGGCCTGACAAGAGAAAGCCTTGAAAGAAAGAGAAAGCAGAGGTTTTGACGGAAACGACGAAATGGGTGGTACTCTAAAGTTGTTAGGAATACGAGGGCAGAAGGTAGAGCACGAAGCCATGACAGTCGAAGATAAGAAGTTGTAAGAGCAGTTGGCGTTGGGATTAACCAAGAAAGTGGGAGTCATAAGCCGTTTTTAAAACTAGGAGAAATGTAATGCAAGTATCGGAGGTTATGACAGAAGCCCGCATTTCCAAGTAATCCTTTTTGTTTCTAAATGTTTGGATAAACCGAGAAAGAATCAGGGCCCAGCTGAACCTTGCTCAGTTGCTTGCTTTGTCTTGTAGAAAATTAGAATTATATGATGTATTAGTAGTTTAAACTTTAAAAACCGTAAACCAATTGAAATTAGTATGTAATACAAAGTGTTTTTTTCCCCCCTTCTTTTTCTGAGTGGTGATTAAAAAAAATGTAAATAAAATTTACCCTCAAAAAATTTTGCCTTAGGAGAGCATTTTGCTGTTAGGTTGGATCAAAAAAGGTTTGCCGTAAGTGTGGCTCCTTCCTGCATTACTCTGCCAAAATCTGAGCTTTGTGCTCTTGCTTCTCTTTTCTTTTTGGACACAGTTAAGGAAGACTGGGCCATTGAATCTGCTGTAGCATATTCAAAATGCATTTATCAAGTAATTATTTAAATACTAATCTTCTTCATATTCGACAGTTAGATACTTTCAGGTTTGGTTAAATCTACAATAACACCACCCGTCAATTCATAGGCTTCAGTGGAAGCAGATGTTTGAGCGATAGAACAAGCTACCCAAACCTCAACTCCATGACAGGATCATTTATAACCAAATATCAGGTAGATATAAAGATTTGTAGCACATAGCCATAGCCCAGTTCGGTATGTCTCTGAAGGTGGTGTTTTGCTAGCAGAGGGCTGAAATTCAGCTGAACATGGTGCAATGATCAGAACTTTTGTCATTTTTATGATTGAATAGCTTCCCTTGGAGAACCTATAGATAAAAAGCAAGTTATGACAATTATTTTGCTACAAAACCTAAAGAAACATAATAGTATTAGGTGTTGAAGATACATACTACAAAAAGTGGTACGGTTCCGGAGTAGAGTTAGCTAAACAAATGCTGTCATCAGTTTGAGCTTAATCTTGATTTCCCATTTTTCTGCCTGCACAGAGCATTAAAAAAGAAAGGGTGAATCATAAGTGGTGCCAACAAATTTAGAAACCAGGATTTAGAAGATGAGCAACCAACCAAAATGAATCCTTCTTTTCCTGAGCTAATAGCTCTTCAAAAGAAATGTCCGCAAAGTCAGTATCTGTGCCTTCCATCAGCTCACCAGACTTAGCCTTCACCTCCATGCAAGCACCAATTTCAAGCATCTGAGAGAGAGAGATCAGAACCATGACAATAATTCTTTTAATTGCAAGAAGAGACCAGATCAACATGGGGGGAGGAAAAGGGCATCTCAATGATCGTTTGTACTCATTTATGTGGAGAATTAGGAGGACAACTGAACAAGACCTCCCCTTTCTCTTGGTCCCTCACATTAATTCTGTGTGGATGTGCCTTCTTTTTTTTTTTTTTTTTTTCTGGGTGAGGGGGGAGAAGTTGTTTCCAACTATAGAAAAACAACATATTGGAAAGAACATAGAGCAGAAGTCCTGACATCCTGTAAATTTTTTAACCCAAATTAAGTTCATAACAAATTGAAGCCCACCCCACTAGCTGTTGAGTTGCAAGTACAGAAAGGCAATGGCTGACAAAAGAAAGTTCCATGAAACACGATATGAAGTTCCTATGTTGGAAAAAGGCCACTAAAAATTACTGCCAAAAGAAGTGATGGAGACGACCTTCATTAGCAATAATTTGAGCAATTAAGTTCTGTTATCCTTCCTCAGAAACTTTATTGACAACAGAATTAACAAAATTTACAATAAACAAACTATCAGAATGCAGGTCTGAACTGTACCTTCTTATATGCCGGTGATAGTTTAAGTTGTTGTTGGAGCCAATTATAGACAAATGCATCCTCTTCTAATCTCTTCTGTTCCATTTCTAGCTTGTATATCTAAACATGCAAATCTATCCACTTTTAGAGGAGAACAAGATGAATGATAACAAGCAGTTCATGCCAGAAGCTTAAGTTTATCTCATATGGTTGCTCACCTGTTGCCTCAGGCGATCAAATGAAGATCGATCTGCTTTGAAAAGTAGGGCCTTTGTTATTGTAAACTTACGTTTGATGACCTCAGACCTATGGTAAGATCATAGCAAGGAAATCAATCACGCCAATATTAAAAGGACAGATTAATGGTGAAAATACGATGAAAAAAAAACCAGTGGTGATGTCAAAATTTAAAATCTGGGGAAAACATTAAAAAGTACCATGTTTTAAAGAGAGAAGAAAGAAAATAGAAAAATATTTCAAAATTCTGATATTGCATTCAGGAAAATCTCATAAGATAGTACCAGTACAATTTGTGAGTAGGAGACAATAAAATCAGTTTCGAATTTGTATAACAGACAGAATACAAGTACTTAGGACTTGAAAGGGAAAAAAAGTAGTGTGCAGTTTATCACATAAATCAATACTAAGCAGCATATTTTCCACAAACAATAACAAAAAAGCTAAAAGGAAATAATTGAAAAGCAAAACCAAAGGTCTAGATTCCTAAAACATGAAAATGACTATAAACTTACTTGTGCTGCAGTTCATTTCTGGCCTCAATCAAGCAATTGGCAAACTCCCCAACCTGCATAAGTGAAAAATAGTATGTTAGAATTGTTGCATATTCAAACCCCCAATTAAATTTCCAACATATATACCAGAATGAAAAGAGGCAGGAGGGATCAAGGCAAGTCATAGCTTATCAATGCTACTACTAACAAATTCTTAGATAACTTTATAGCGCAATTTGAAATCTTCTTCAGAAATTCTGATATCGAGAAGTGTGCAATATGAAGTAAAAGGCACAAGTTAAACATGTGCAGGTTCATGTTTTCAAGTATAAATAGACCAAAAAATGTTTTTAAAAAATTGCAAAAAAAAGGGCATGAAGAGAATAGTACAAAATCATTATCTAGCACAATGATGCTATATAACAATAAGAAGAAAATATTATATTGTCGTTTATTAGCCCAAATACTTAACATACCTTGTGATTGTCAGAGACTAAAAGCATAAAAAAAATAGGATCCTGGGTATAAGCATTTGAAACTTCAAATAATGCAGCAGACAATATCAGATGCTGAGCCTAAAAACACATTCCTGTGGTGGAAGTTACATTCAATCAATTCTTGAGATGCCACATGAAAAGCACACATTCTTTATTTAAGTGTAAATGGTTGTCTAAAAGATGATGTTGGGATGCAAGAATCTCAGATTGAACTGGGCTTAAACTTGAGAGCCTTGAGTTGGTGCGAAGGTGTAACTCTTACCATTCTTTATAATATTGGTATAACTGAATCTCCATAGCACTGATTTATCAGCTCAGAAATGCACCAGTCAAATTCAATACAAATGCAAATGGCCCTACATTCCCACCTTATGGCAGTTCTACGTTTTAAATCAATTTCCAAGCAACAAAAATAATATAATTACTCTCATAAGCAGCTGGAAACAATTGTATTGAATACCAAAATCTTCTTTGCTCCTGAAAGTTTCTAGAGAAACACATCCATTTGGCCAATAAAATTTTCAATCCATTTGATGCTTTCAGCACATGGCTTGCAGAAGCAAGTGAAAGCTCTAACTCCCATAATCCAAGATCTACAAGTAAAAACTTGAATCCACACAAACTTCACTGAAATCCTCAAGTTTCCCTTTATCAAATCCTCTGAGAACAGAAAAGTAGCCTCGTACTTTCTGTAATTCAATAGGAAAGACGAAAAATTCACTATGATCTCCTTGTACTAACAACCTTCTATGAGGCCCACATTTTTAAAAGAATAGTTGTAGAATTTGACTCATGCTTAACCTAGAAGTCCAGGGACTAATTCAGAATCTATCCTCTCAAACTCTTTCCGCAAATTAGTAACATAAAATTATAGCCCCACCCAGATGAGAACATGAGTCTTTCTCAATTGCTAGCAGACAAGAAACCAGAAATTTAGTGCTTTCTCAGAAATAAGGCAACTACTTATTCTAATGGCAATATTCTTAAGAGCACAATCTCACATTCAGCATGTCTGAAATTTCATCAGTTATAATTCATATCTAAATGAAAAACTTTAAATCAGTGCTTTACAGAGCAAGCCCAATAAGATGCCAATAATCAACCAAATGGTTTAAGGATCATCTTAACTAACGGAAACTAGACCCTTGTATTCAAGTTATGTCCAAATGTGGCCTAGATTTCCTCAAATGAGTTTGTACCTTTATTCACGCAAAATTTTTCAAATTCTATTCCTTTTATAACATCTTGTTGCAGAAAAGAAACAAACAAACTCATAGAGAATTCCGAAGTGGATAGTCTTACCTCAATGTAAGCAAAGAAAAGAAGTTTCAACTATTGCTTGACATGAGAAAAGGCTTCCCAACTTGTTGCCCAAATAGCCTAAAGATAGTTAAAGAACTAAAAAAGCACTTAAAGATATCTTAAATAACAAGAAACAACGGGAATTTCTTTACTATCAAGACAGGCCATATATTAAAGCAGAATTCAAAAGAAAAATCTTAAACTACAATAAACACAGATTACAAAAAGTGTAACCTTTATTATTACTTGCTAAATAAATCAACAGATAAAATAACCATGAAAAATCAAAATTATGAAGTGATAATAAAAAGAAAAAACAAGAGAGAGAGAACTGACCTGAGCCAATGTTAATCCTTTGTTTTCATGACACTTAACAAGCTGATCATACTGTTGTTTGATTTTCCTTTGAGTGGCACTACTCGTCGATGTAAAAGGGTACAAGCAAACCAGCTCCGGCTTGACCCGAGAACGCGGACAACCCTGACCCGATTCTTCCCTTTTCTTTTTCTCTTCCTCAACAGAACTACACCTTTCTTCCCCATTTTCTTCTTCACCGTTGGAATTGAATCTCTTCTTCTTCCCCCTTTTCTTCTTCTTCTTTGTCCTCTGATCCCCACTTTCCGATTCACAGCGCTCCACTTCTCGACCAGACCCGACTTGACCCGTATCTCCCCTTCGTTGATTTTCGCCGGAAAACAAACCAGCCCATTTTGTAGAATCAGAAGGCAAGATCTCTAGAAGGAGCGAATGGTGCAAATGGGTCGGGTCATTTTCCCGGGTTTGGCGTTTTTTACCAACAATATCGGAGAGAGAGCGGTTCAAAAGGGCCGGTTCATTCTCGGATTGTACTTCTTCTTCTTGTTGTTGTTGTTTGTGGAGATTTTTATAGTAGAAAGAAAAGAAAAAGAATAAGAAAGAAAGAGCAAAGGAGACGAGAAAGAAGAAGAAAAACATTTGGAGCGATTGTTTTGGTTTTGGTTTAAGTTTTAAACAAACTAAATATAAAAAGGAAAGGAATGCTAC